TAGAGACACACACCCTTCCTGAAGGAGTGAAGACTGACGCTATACAGCCTTGAGTACTAACAGGTGAAGAGTTTAACATTTTATACATGCCCAGTGTCACAGCTCATATGCAACAACTCCTTTAAAAACAAACACACTTTCCTATTTTATAATGGACTGCTTGCAAACTTATTCTTGCATGCCATTAAGAAGCCGATTCCTATGGACATAAAATGTGACTACTACATCACTATATCAACTATCTCCCCCTACTTAAAAAGTACTGTGGATGTACCATAGTAAAGTGAAGATAATCAAAGGATTACACTACCGTTCAAACGTTTTACTGTAAGGATTTTTAAGAAAAATATTAAAGATTTTAAAAGAAGTCTCTTTTGCTCACCAAGGCTACATTTATTCAATTAAAAATACAGTAAAAACAGTAATATTGTGAAATATTTTAAATATTTAAAATAACAGTTTTCTATTTGAATATATTTTAAAATGTAATTTATTCCTGTGATGCAAAGCTGCATTTTCAGCATCATAACTCCAGTCTTCAGTGTAACATGATCCTTCAGAAAACATCAGAATATGGTAATTTGCTGCTTAAGAAACATTTCTGATTATTATCAATGTTGAAAACAGTTGTGCTTTCTGGCCAAAATACCAATCCATAATCCTTTCCTTTGAATTTAAAAACATCTCACTGATGGATTTACTTCTTCCAAACATGCAGATTTTCACTTCACAAGACATTAACCGATGGACTGGAGTGGTGTGGATTACTTGTGGATTATTGTGATGTTTTTATCAGCTGTTTGGACTCTCATTCTGACGGCACCCATTCACTGCAGAGCATCCATTGGTGAGACAGTGATGCAATGCTACATTTCTCCAAATCTGTTCCCATGAAGAAACAAACTCATCTACATCTCGGATGACCTGAGAGTGAGTAAACGGTCAGCAACTTTTTTTTTTTTAAAGGGTTAGTTCACCCAAAAAAATGAAAATTCTGTCATTAATTACTCACCCTCATGTC